CTAGCAGTCCCTCAGGCCGCATAGCACTCTTTCAACCTGCCTACCGTGATTGCCTAGCCTGTTTGTTTCCCCTGCGTGTGCTCCCTATTCCCACTTTCTTTTATCCATCCTTTTTTTTTTTTTTTTTTTTTTTTTTTCCATCTCTGTTTCTCTGCCTGAATTCTTCCTACCTGGCAAAAGCTGCACTGCATCCTGGTGATGGTGCTGTTCGGCGATGGCGCCCTCCTTGTATCTCCCATTACCAAGAGCCCAAAAGTGAGTACACACTGCCCTCTGTCATCAACATCCAAGTGAAGCAGCAGTACTACTGCTGCAGTAGTCTTGGACTCTGGAATCTAGACTATATCTGCAACGATTATTTTATTTTATTTTATTTTTCACCGTCGTTTGTGTCAACGTGATGATTAATCGGAGTATGCTGACGTCGCTTTGGTTTGCCTCCTTTCTTAATGCAATGTGTGGTGCTTTGGAGGAAAATGAAAGGGACACAGGAGGAGGTGTGTGTGGGGGAGGGGGGGGGCGATGATGGTTAGGGCCCGTGAGGGTACATATGGGGGAAAGATTGGAGGGTGGACAAGAGTTTCGAAAAGTTAAAATTTGAACAGTTTTACAAAAGTTTTATTACCTTTTTGGTATCCTTGCTGCACAGGAGAAAAACATCCCAATGGCCCAAAAAAAAAACACCGTCCGAAGGTCCCCCGAAAGGAGTCCAGATTCTGTGCCTTGAACGTCTGCTGCCCATTTCTCCTGTCGAACATAGCTGCCGAAAACTTTGGCGAAAACTTTGGCGAAAACTTTGGCGAAAACTTTGGCGAAAACCTCGGCAAAATGTTAATAACTTTATATTTTTGTATAAAAACGTTGAAATGTACCCTAACTTTATATAAGTATGAAAAACGTTCAAACTTCAAATGTACCTGTGCCATCTTCTTTCTTTGAATTTTTTTCTGTTTTTTCGGGAAAGGGTGATGCCCGTAAGGGCCGAGATATCATGATTGAATCGACCGGGCACTTGGCGCACTTGTAATTCAGAATTATTTTTTTCAGTTCATGTGATTGCATCTGGATTTGAACTTGGGTCTGTATTTCAACACAGTTCATTTGGTGTGTACCAACTGAGCTATGGCCGTTGGTTACCCTTACTGTCGTCAGGAATCCTCCTCCACATCCCCCTTTTTTTTTTT